GCTGCGAGCTATGTGGGAGGGGGTGATGTAGTGGTGATACGCGCTGGGGTAGGGATCGTGTGCCAGCGCGTAGTGATTGGCTGTGTGGGTGGTGACGCGCGCTGACGGTGAAGGATCAGGGATCAGCGCGGGGTCGTGGGTTATGTGGTGCTGATTGGCTGTGTGCCGGTGACGCGCTTGAGAGGGAGTGATCGGGTGGCAGCGCGGTGTGATTGGTTGGGTAGTGGTAACACGCGCTGGGGAAAACGGATCGTAGAGACAGCGCGTCGTCATTGGTTAACTAAGGAGCGATGCTCACGTCGAGGTCCGCATCCGCTCCGTCTCCCGTGAGCGGGGGCTATATAAGGGGATGCACACAGGCGTAAGGGGAGAGTGTAACCAGCGAAGACTGAAGACGGGGAGGAAGAGAGATAGGGCCCTGCGGTACCTAGTCCCGCTGTCCTAAAGGGACCGGGACTCTGTGTAACCCAGAGGCGGAATGCAGTGTGTGTAGCCAGAGGCATAGGGTCTACACGAGTCAAGTGAAGTGTGTGTAGCCAGAGGCATAGGGTCTACACGAGTCAAGTGGAGTGTGTGTAGCCAGAGGCATAGGGTCTACACGAGTCAAGTGAAGTGTGTGTAGCCAGAGGCATAGGGTCTACACGAGTCAAGTGAAGTGTGTGTAACCAGAGGCATAGAGTCTACACGAGTTAAGTGAAGTGTATAGTCAGAAGAATAGAGACCACACGTTGTACCGTGACACGTCAAGATTTAATAAAAAGTGTGTTACCCGTCAAGGAGTTCCTGCCGTCATTTCCAATACTTCACATGTGTACCCGTGTGTGTGTGTGGGACAAGCGTCTATGATGTTTCCTGGCCAAACTCCATTTGGTGGAGCCAGGAGACTGAATCTTTACCCTCGGGGCTCCTCCACAAACAACCAAAAACCACTGCGGGTGGCCACGGAGGAGAGGCTGCCACTCCGCTGTCGGGAGCTGGACCGGTACCGCCTGGATCTCTGTGGTATTCAGGAGGTCCGGTGGACCGGCTCTGGCTCCTGCCACTATGAAGGGTGGACAGGCCTCTACTCGGGGCAGGAGACTGCCAAACAACAGGGAGTGGCTCTTCTTCTGAACAAAATAATGAAGGGGTCGTGGGAGCGTGGCGGTGAGGTATGGGAAGCTGTAAGCCCCAGGCTACTTTGGGCTCGCCTTCCCATCAACCAGAGGTGAGGAGTGGTGGTCGTGGTTACTCATGCCCCCACCGAAGACGAACATACATGGAGGGATGCAGGCAAGGCCGATGAGTCAGATGCCTTCTATGACCTCCTGTCACAGGTGTTAGCTAAAGTGGCCCCTCAGGATAGAGTCATCTTGTTGGGCGACTTCAATGCCCGAGTTGGTCATGATGCTGGCACCTGGTCTGGAGTGATTGGAAGGCATGGGCCAGATCAGCTCAATAACAACGGTAGGAGGCTGCTAGATTTTTCTGCAGCCCATGGGCTTGTAATTACTAACACGCTGTTCCAGCATAGGCGCATCCACACAACATCAAGGATGCATGCTGGCTCCAAGCAAGAACATCTGCTGGACTACATAGTGACGGAACCGCGAATGTGGTTCCATGTCCTTGACACCAGGACCTACCGTGGAGCTGATCTGCCCACTGACCATCGACTTGTGATCTGTAAGATGTGCCTGCCATTCTTCCACTCCGGTGGTGGGTGTACACACAGGACCCCATTCAAATCCATAGTGGCCTGGTCTCAGCTAGATGATGAAAGTTGCAAGCAAGAATTTCATCATAGCATGCGGCTGGGGTTGGCATCATCCTCCATTCCTCCTGATGTCGAGGGGAAATGCAGCTGCAATGGCTGCTTTGGGTACACGGTCCAGACCTCCCCAGAGACCCTGGCTGACAGAGGAGGTGTTCAGGCTGGCTGAGAAAAAGCGACAGGTCCACTCTCATCGTCTACAGCATCCTACATCAGAGAATGAGGAGGCTTACCGCAGCCTTCGCTCGGAGGTTCGGAAAGCCATGAGGCGCTGCAAGGATGGGTGGTGGTTGCAGGTTGCTGAGGAGATGGAGTCTGCCTCAATGACCCACGATCACAAATCACTCTATACTGTAACTCCATCAAAAAGTAACTTGCAGTGCCACACCTATTACCATCATTAGGGGAAATAACGTTAATCCAATCTCGGACCCCAGGAACAGGTTTGCAGATTTTCTGAGCATTTCTGTGAGGTCCTGGGGGAGGGGAAATCCCTCAGCCGGGAAAACATCGTGGAACAAAGTGGGGATGACCCTGCTGAGGCTGCGGTGCCTCAAACATTGGAAGAAGTTACCCCCTGTGAGTGGCTGGCTGAGGTGCCATCTTTTGAGGAAGTACTGAAGGTGATCAAGAGTCTGAGATCAGGAAAGGCACTGGTCAGAGATGATCTCCCAAGCGGAATGCTGAGGGAGGGTGGCAATTGTGCACAGAATGCCCTATATGACATCATAACAACAGTCTTGACTACTGGACGGGTTCCACAGGATTGGAAGGATGTCCTGGTGGTCCCCCTTTTAAGAAGGGGGACTGCTCAGACTGTGACAACTACAGGGACATCTCACTCCTCAGTGTGCCGGGAAAGGTCCTGGCAAGGATTATTTAACATCGCCTTTCCAGGCATGCTGAGGAGAGGCTTGCGGAGCCCCAATACAGTTTCAGGAAAGGGCGGTCCTGCACAGAAGCCATATTTTTTGTCCGTCTGCTACAGCAGAGATGTAGGGAATTCCAACAAGACCTACATCTCTGCTTTATTGACCTAGTCAAGGCCATCAGTAGGCCTGGGCTCTGGGTTGTTCTTCGTGCTTTCGGAGTCCCTGACTCTCTGCTCACGATCATTAAGGACCTTCATGATGGTGAGCGGGCCCGGGTAGAATTACGTGGCTGGGAGTCAGAGCCTTTCCCTGTAAAATCTTGGGGTGCGACAGGGCTGTCCTCTGGCTCCCACATTATTTAACATTTATTTTGACCACGTAGTTCGTGAATCCTTTGATGGCTGTGCCAGAGGAATTTCCATCTGGTACAGATACAATGGGAGGCTGATTGATGCCCAGGTGCGGTCAAGGGATAGCTCCCTATTGGTCAACCATGTTACGTATGCCGATGATCTGGTAAGGAGTTGGGGGCACTGCTGCTGAACCTGGCGATTGCCACTAAGAGGTGGGACCTTACCATCAGCCCCACCAAAACTAAGCACCTGCCTGGGTATTTTGTATCATCGGACACTCCACCCCCACAACTCCCAATTGGTGATAGGGCAGTTGTGGAGAGAGTGGAGAGTTTCCCATAGCTGGGCAGTATGCTCATGACCGGCTCCGGTTTAACAGCAGAGGTCTCACTCCAAATCAGTCGAGCGGCATTATCTTCTCATCGGTTGCGTAACGCTGTGTGGAAGCTAGCTGGTCTGTCGCTCCACACGAAGCTTCAGGTCTTCTCGGCCACGGCCATTCCCTCCCTTCTCTACGCTTGTGAAACGTGCACCCCCCTAATCGAACATCTTCGCCAGTTAGAAACATTTAGGCTGGCCTGCCTACGATCCATCCTGGGTTTAACCAGGCTGGATTGTGTGAGGAGCTCACAAATCCTGAAAGATCTGGACAAAGTCCCATTGGTGAGCTCCTCTGGCAGGCAAGGCTGCGTTGGCTGGGTCATGTAGCCCGCATGCCCAGCCACCGCATGCCTAAATAGCTTTGTTCAGCCGGATAGAGGGGGCTAAACGGGCACAGCATGGGCTAGAGAAGAGATGGAGTGATGTGGTACAGGAAGATGTGGAGCTGAGTGGACTTGCCGATGACTGGTACCAGCGGTGTCAAGATCGGCCTCTGTGGAGGAGGCTCGTGAAGGACGCTACTGGGCAGTTGGAGGCAGTCGCCCTCCAACAACAACGGAGGGTAGAGGAGCGATACTCACAACAACGAGCGGAGCGCCAGGTGACTACAGCACAGCAAGTTGGCACAGTAGGGGGCACAGGTGGTGCATCAGCCAGTCATCTCGGCTAGTGGACGCGTGTCACCTGGGTCTGCCCCGTGACCTCCTGCCAGCGGGTGTTCGACACTTCACGTGGCCTCAACATGCACATAGCCTGGCACAAGCGTCGGGGTGACGTCACCGCCACTTAGTGGCAAATGGTGGTTGTTGTGTTGTTGTGTGCCCGTGTGTGTGTACCCGTGTGTGTGTACCCGTGTGTGTGTGTACCCGTGTGTGTGTGTACCCGTGTGTGTGTACCCGTGTGTGTGTACCCGTGTGTGTGTGTGTACCCGTGTGTGTGTACCCGTGTGTGTGTGTACTCGTGCTCCAGCCGACTGGCAGGAAGCACAATCCACTCTGCTGAATCATGCGACACGCCACGCCACGCCGCTCGCAGCCACCGCTGCTGCGCACGGGAAGCGCGGCCAAGCGAGATACGGGAGCGCCCACTTCCCGAGCTGCGCCACACGCACTCGGACACACGGCCACACGCACTGCCACACGCACTCGGACACACGGCCACACACACTCGGACACATGCACTGCCACACGTACTCGGACACACGGCCACACACACTTGGACACACGGACACACACACTTGGACACACAGCCACACGCACTCAGGTATCCGGTCACACTCCCCCTGTGCCGCTGCTGATCGAGTCACGCACGCATTAACTTTGTGGTTCGAAAGCTGCGTTCTGATAAGCTCGCAAGTGTCAAGTCCACGTTATAGACCGGCGTTGCGACTCTGATCGTCACCATCGTGTTGTTATCGCATCGGATGCTGGACCTGGCCATAACTATTTTTGAACAGAGAATTTTTAAAATATCAACATTAACCGGCTTGGAAATTATTGTCGGCAAGCGCGCGCGAGACTTTGTATTATTGTGGATGTGAACTGGCACGCCGCTTGGGGTGCAGGTTCATTCCGCCACTGGATCTGCAACACCGGAGCGATTTCTGTAAATTTAATAGACCTCCTCTTTTTGTGACCATAGCGTAGCCCTGGAGGGGAGGTCCGTATGGAGCTCGCAGAGGAAGAAGGCAGGAGGAGCCTCCAGGCCGGACTCCACAGACGCGGCGACGGTGGCGCCGGCGGCACCACGGACACCGAGCCGGCCCGGCTCCACCGCCATCCTGAGACCCAAGGCCTCGATGGATCGAACCGCGGGTCGAGCGCCCGAGGACGACGAGGCGAGCGCTCCCTCGCGACGGCCGGCGAGGAGGAGAAAGCCCCGACGAGGGGTGAGGCTCAGGAGGAGGACGGGAGTTGCGTGGACGATGTCGGGATGAGCGATCGTGGCGGAGTTATCGGCCACGCGGCAGCCGCTCCGGAGCGACGCGAGTGGAGTCCTGCGTGGAGGAACAGCCACGGTGATGACGACGACTGGTGGTGATGCCGACTAATGAAGGAGATGATGATGATGATGAGAGGGAGGAGGAGGATGAGGACCTCAAACAGTCTGAGGAGGTGGACTTAACATCTACAGGAGGAGGAGGAGGCGGTAGACCGTACCGCCACGGGCCGCCAACTCAAGGATGATAAAGGCGACCTCCTGAGATACCTCTACCTGACGTGCGGCACGGACGGAATCGCGGACGGAATCGCGGATAGAATTTCTGGTGAGATCACGGATGGGATCACCGGTGGGATCGCAGATCGGACCGTGGATGGCGTCGTGGACGGGATCACAGACGGGATCACGGATGGAATTGCGACTGGGATCATGGATGAGATCACGGATGGAATCACAACTGGGATCACGGCAGCCGGGGACAGCGCCGCGACCGCGTGGGCCGGAGACGATGTGGGCGGTGGGGGCCCCCGTGGCGGGCAGGAGCGGTCGAGCCGCGATGCTGCCGCCGGGAGTGACGCGCCGAGCCAGGGCGACGCGTCGGGCGAGGAGACGTGGGATCGGAGGTGAGGCCGCCGCTCTGCTCGCGTCTTCCTACTCACGGGGAGGGGGGGGGGCAGGTTGTCTCCGGGCACTCCTGTTTAATGCCACGCGGCAAAATAACAACAACAAGAACAACAACAATGAGCGTATCTTCCAGATTGTGAGATGGACCTTTTTAAGTTCGACTGTTTGAAAGAAGAGGTCGGGGGTGCGTCGCCACGAAGGATGTTTACAGGAGAGGGTGAGACCGATCTCAGCGGATGATCGGTGAACGATGAGGATGGGCAGCAAATCTGTCTCACTTTTATTAAAGCTGGGGGGGGCACCGGGGGGGGCACCTGGGGGGGGGGGGGGGCGCCGGGGGGGGCACCGGGGGGGGGGCACCGGGGGGGGCACCCCCATACAAAACTCTGGGGGAAGGCAGGACGCACCGGACGTTAACGACACTTTAAAACAAACGATAAACAGAGGGAGTGGCGATACGGTCTGCTTGTGGCTGTCGTGCAGTCAGCTCAAGGAACGTTGATGTCGGTTACCCAGGGGCGAACTCAAGAGACCAAGATGCGGTCTCATTTTGCATGGGTGATATGGGCTCTCGCCTCCCCCTAATTCTACTCATCTACTCAAGATTGTTTACTGTTTTTGTCCAGCCGCGTCCCGGTTACTGCAGGCAGATCGTGCACCGCCGAGTGAAGTGTGTAGGCTAAAAGACGCGTGCTCGTCGGGAACACAGTGCGATCGTGGATGCCCGGGCTAGATCGTTCAAGGTGGATCGGGATTAAAATGAGGAAGCAGAGAGGAGAATGTGAGCAGCCCGGAGCAAGCCGCCAGGAGTTGTTTGGATAATGAAACGAATGCGATCCATGAGAGGACAGTTTTCAATCGGTGCGTATTGCAACGCTGTTGAGAAATATGGACCAGCGGCAAGGAAAATAATTTAAACAAATGCAACCGTAAGACCTTTAGGGTGTTAGTTATCTATGAGGAGGAGGGTCAAAATTACGACCCGAAGACCCCCGTTCCATTCTTGCGTGGCTGACATCAGTTGGCGAGAGTGCAGCAGGTCCTGGGGCACATCCCATTCCCCCCCCACCCCCCTTTGCCAAACCAGCGTGATGAAGTATCGACAAACAACCCCCCCCCCCCCTGACTGATACGGCGTGGGGGGGGGGGGAGTGAACGATCTTCGTCCAGCGCGGTGGGTTGATTGACGGAGCAATGAGCGTGTGAAATCCGCCGTCTGTGTTGGCTGCGGTGCGCAGAGAAGCGGGGACGGTGATGCTGCTGGAGGGAGCCGAGTTCAAGGAGGAGTGGCAGGATGAAGATTTCCCCATGTGAGTTTGTAGCTTAGTTTGCAAGTTTATTTTTTTGCTGTGACCAGGTGAAAACTCAAGGGACCAGGATTGAGTCTCATCTGCAAGCATGACCGTGATGCATTTGGCTGCTAGTACCAGGCAGCGATTATTGCTGATGCTGTGTGTGTAATCCTAATTGAGTAATTTGTGGTGTAAATTTCGATTTTGGCAAGTTTGGAAATTTGCGGTGTAATGTGCCAATTTTTCTACTTTGACCCTCACGCCGTTTGACGTCACTGGATCTTTAACATCCACTGTGAGTGAATCAGACGGCGCATACTCTTTGCCGCGGCTGTTACACCCACTCGCAGTTATAATCGGGGCGGCTGGAGGAATACAAAGTGCGACAACCTCTGCAGAATAAAGTGCAACCGCACTAACGCTTGGCCACGTCTGCCGAGTACGGCGGGTTCGTTAAACGGGTGATGACTGAGCATGGCGCCGGATCCGCACCTGGGCCAGGTCGCCCTCCCAATAGCGTGAAGATCACCCATCCGCCCGCTTGCCACCACTGTGTCCACGTCTAGGTGCGACAACGAAAGTAGTACAGCGGTTGTAATTCGTGATCGTGACGACCGTTCATAGTTCACAAAAATGTGTCACGTGACGACGACGATGATGACGACGATGATGATACGTGGCAGCTCCGATTGGCTGAGCAGGTCGAATGCGAGAGAGAGTTGACTGTCGTTTCCGCTGGCAGCAACAACGGGTTACAGAGGTCCACGTGTTTGTGCAATTCAGTTGGGTGCAACTTGGTTGTGTGCAACTGATCGTCACAGTTGTTGGACCCAGCTGAACGACTAATTCCCTCGATGAAGGCAGGGTGACGATTCGATGCAAGAATCAATTCTTTACCGTGTAATTTGTACTGCCTCATTTGTATTTTTGTGTGTCTTGTTTGTTCTGTTCACTCCAATTGCCTACAGCTAACATGAGCACATAATTTTCATATTTATTGCATTATTTTATATTTTGTGTTTTACCAGGTAAGGCCCACAAATGATAGCTCAAAGAAATGGCTTATGACGTGGAAATTTATAGCAGCCAAATACTCTAAACGCACGTTTCTAAATCTTGAGTGAAAAACTGGATGATTCGGAGAAAAAAATAAACAAAAATATTTTTTCATTTAATAAGTAAGGCCCACTGAGCTATACTATAGCTTCTTTTTCAAAAGCGACCTGGCCAGAAAATATACAGGCGTCGTGAGTGTCGGGATCAAACTAACGTCTTCCTGCGTACCAGGCGAGGTAGTTAACATCTCCTACCCACCGTGCCGAGATATTTTCAGGCCAACTAGTGTTGACGTGAAAAATGACTCAATCGAGATTACACAAAGCAACAGAAACTCGGCACAGTACAGTACAGCCTCTTTGCCAATCCACTGCTGGATGAGGGCCGTGTGGGTTGGCGGATTGGGGGGGGGGGGGCGTGGACGTTGCAGCGCAAGAATGGGAAATGTGTAAAAGTGAGCAGCTGCAAGTCCCCTCAAACGCGTTCAGCACCTCGCCCTCATGCACTGAACAGCGCGTGAACTTTGCTGTACCTCGATGATCGAAGTTTTTTTTGGGTTAGATCGCGTAAATACATAAATGTGTCGGTAAAACCGCCACAAGCCGACACAGCCAATCAGTAAGGGTTGTCACTTCTTGCGCAAGAAGGGCGCACAAGTGTCGTCATCACATCAACGCCTCTATTTAAGGAACGAAACAGGTGGACTCCACAAATCTGGCTGTCGCCTGATGAAGCTAGTTGTAATTACTGGCGAAACATCGTACTCGGATTGTAAATGTTCTGGCTGGGCTCTCCAACACACTGGTGTGCTGTACTAGTGAAAAATTGGCATTTTCTGTTTACGTAACACCCTTACTAGCTTGCCTGTGTCGGGTGGTGGCGGGTTTAACGACACATTTATATATTTGCGCGATCTATCCCCAAAACAACCTTTTTATGGATGATATTGGTCGCGAAAGCCTCCTACGTGTTAAACTCTGCTTGTACCTACTGCCCTCTGCTGGCCAAATAATAAGAATATATTCTTCGGTTCTTTCGGTAAAGTCACGTAGATAGAAATAATAATAAAATAATAAAAGTGAGTGTACTGGTAGACTTATTCTGGTTCTTTCAGTGATAAAAAGCACACAAAAACCACGACGTTTTGATCGCAACACAAGCGGTCGTAATCAGGAAAAGCGGGGTTAGCCTCTAAAGCAGAGGTGGAGAATCTTTTTTCTGCCAAGGGCCATTTGGATATTTATAACATCATTCGCGGGCCATACTAAATTATCAACTTAAAAATTTGCCTGTTATATTTGGTCAAACATTTCATTAACTCACCCCTAATGTGATGGCTGGAACTGCTTCTCGTTGGTGAGGCGTGTGATGAAAGCTGGTATTGATGATGTTGCTACTCGCAACTGCTTTTCCAGGTTTGCTCCGAGATTTATTGGATTTCGAGTCCCGCCTGCGGTTGCCTTGGCAGGCCACACCAAATGATTTTGCGGGCCTCATACGGCCCACGGGCCGAAAGTTCTCCACCCCTGCTCTAAAGGCAAACTGTTTAGTCTAAAGGCAAACTCTTTAGTTGCGTGGTGGTGGTTGTGAGCCCTGAGGACTCGAGTTTGGGAAGCCTGCATCACGCACACACTACACACGCATCACACATGCACACACTGCACACGCATCACCACACACGCACACACTACACAGTGCGTCACATGCGTCCCACGCGCACAACGCGTAGGTCAGTGGCACAGTGTGGTTGGCGCGGTCGGCCCCTGTGTCGGGAATTAAACGGCGCCCCCAGTCCAATTTCGCCCTCCCTCCCGCCAGGCCCCACTTCGTACATCGGCGCCTGAACCCTCCGGCCCGCGGGCCCCAGTGCAGGTAGCCCTGCCTGCACAACTCGCCGGCTCTGAGCACTGCCGCGCGTGGCCTCTCCTCTTGCGAGCACCGCAGGACGTTTGAATGAACCCGGTAGGTTGGGGCAGGGGGGGGGGGGTGTTGGGACGGGCGAGAGTAGAGGTGCGGAGGGGGGGGGCGCGTGTTCTGGGAGAGGGAGGGAGATGCAGGGCACAGGGGAGGGGGGAGAAGAAAAATGGAGCGGGAGTGAGAGAACGGGGATTAGAGATGTATGTGTGGTGCAGGAGAGATGGCGAGTGAAGGAGAGAGGTGAAGAGTGAAGGAGAGCGGTGGAGAGTGAAGGAGAGAGGTGGAGAGTGAAGGAGATGGAGAGTGAAGGAGAGAGGTGGAGAGTGAAGGAGAAAGGTGGAGAACACCACCCCTGCACCGGACTGGAGCGTCATGGCCTCCTTCCTCCTGAAACAGCTGGGGGGGTCTGCAGTGCTCCAAACAACTATTCTACATGGACCTGCAGGGCCTCCCACTGGGACAGCTGCCACCTTTCTACTGGAGCGTCCTGCAAGCATGGAGTTCCCTCGCCTTCAGGAGGCTGAACCAGCCGCGATCGGCCGAGGATTTGGTCTTTGAACCGATCCTCAGGAACCCGCAGACAAAGCTGCCATCCACCACCACCACCCCCGGCATGGAGAGGCGCCTCGCCAACGCGCATCTCACCAGGATGGGAGATCTGGTGGAGCCTGGAACATGGGGCCGGTGGCTCAGACTGGCTGAGATGGCCGCAAAGACGGGCTGCAGTCGCTCCGGGTGGCTGCCCGGATCCTAGCCGAAGCCAAAGGGGCCTTCTCAACGGCAGCGGGGAGAACGCCCCCCATCAGCATCACGGATGACAAGGCCCCTCTCGGTCCCTCTCCAGCCGGAGCTCTCCGTCGTGCGACTGCGTCGCCACTGCCGACAAATGAAGGCAGATCACGACCTGTGCCGGCTGGAAGACCTACCAGGAGGTGGCCTTCGCAAACGTCAAGAGGAAGGTGATCTACTCCTACATGGTCCAGTTTCACCAACAGGACACCCTGAGGAGCCACAAGGACCATGGCTAGAGGAAAGCCCTGCCCTATACATCTTTCCGGAGAGGCCTCTCTGGAGGCAACTCTACTCCAGCCCGACGTACAACCGCATCGGCGACCTCAGCTGGAGCATCGCCCACGGCACTGTCACCACCAACGTCCTCCCTGGCGCGCTTCACTGACACGTCCCCAGAGTGCCGCTTCTGCGGTAAAGTGGAGATGGTGGTGCACCAATACGTGGAGTGCAAGAGTCTGGACTCGCTGTTCAAGGTCCTTAGAAACATCCTCCTAAGGTTCAGCCTCCACTTCTCCCCGACGGTCCTCATCTTTGGACACCCGAAGGGCGATGGATCCCAACATCTTCAGGGGCTGGTCAACGTGCTCGTCGGCTATGCCAAGCTCGCCATACACAGGGCGAGGAAGATGGTCATGGAGGGAAAACGTCCGGCCAGCAGCCTGGGCATCTTCTGCGCTCTGCTCGGTGCCAGGGTGTGGCTGGAGTTCCGGCATGCGCAGCTGACCCACGTCGTGTCGGCCTTCATGGAGCAGTGGGCGCTGGAGGAGGCCGTGTTGCTCGGTGGCAGAAGACGGAGAGCTCTGCATGCAGATATAAGCTACCCGTCGGAGGCCGTTGGACTGCGAGAAGGGCTGCGTGCAGATGCAGCACTTGTCGTAGTAAAAAAAAGAGCGAGAGGGAGAGCGAGAGAGCGAGAGAGTGAGCGAGAGAGACTTTTGACTTTTAAAACGGTTTTATTGCTGCGGCAGCAATTGTGCCGCAGCCACTTTTTGCATTCAAAGTTGTCCATGGCCGAAGACCATGATGCTCATTACAGCGGGTCAAACAGAAACCACCAAGGACACAAGGACACAAAAAAAACACAAGGAGTCATGGCACATGCGCCACTTACTCATACGCGCGCGTGCCACTCGCTCGCACGCGCCACACCGCCGCTCGCGCGCCACGCCCGTCGCTTGTGCGCCACGCCCGTCACTCGCGCGCGCGCGACATCTCTGCGCGCGCCTTGCCACCTCACGCGCCGCGCGGTCGCG